TTTTTTTTCTTGCGTAAAATCCCCTTATGGTTCATTTTTTCTTGCATGAAATCTCCATTTCCGTTAATAGTTAACACCGCTAGCTATAGAGGAGATTTTAAGCAAGTTTTTTTAACATATTTTTCTTATGTAACTGAAAAATGTGTTCGGCTTAATTTAAGAAAATAATATGAAATTTAATTTTGCATAAAACTCCCTTGTATTGTAGAAGATATGCCATAAACCCTATATGCTATGAAAAAAATGCATAATATCCTCTTTGCAGATAACGGTGTTATTTTTAACGGAAAAGAGGATGTCGTGCAAAGTAAAATGAAACACAAGGGGGTTTTACGCAAGAAAAAAAAATAGGGATTTGGCTCAGGTTTTCCTTAACACAATGTAGTTTTATGTTGTTTACCCGTTTTTTTCACAATATTATCTCTTTTCAAGAATATAGGAATATCACCTATGTTTGCCCATCTTTAGGGCAATTATTTCATTTTTATTTTGGAAAACAAAATTTGAAAGAAAATTTGAAAAAAAAAAATTGTTTGTATTTTGAGAAGAAAAGGGTTTACAATGTTCAATGAACATTTCAAACAAAGTTCTTGAAGGTGTTGAAATAAATATATTTTTTGAAATAAATTTGAAAATAAAGCGATATTATTTATGATTTGTAAAGACATTTATTAATGTTGCAATAACTTCATATTAAAAGATACTTTGTAAAAATAGAATTCCCAATTCCCAAAAGCTTTGGAAGTCCAAATTAAAAACCTTAACAAAAATTATTTTGATATTCTTGGAAGTTCTTCACATCATTAATGGTTTACTAAAACCAAATTTTGTTGAGGAAGAAAAGAGAGGTAAAACTAGAAAAAAAATAAAAAAAAAAAATCATAAACGTACTAACATTGGAGTGATACAATTGTTGTTTTTTTTAACCGTACTAGCATTTTTCTCCCGTGCGATGCACGGTATATTATTTAAATAGTGAAAAGAAAAATAATCAATTTAATACATAATAAGAAAATATAGTACACTAATATAATAAAATTTAATAATGCAGTATTATTCATATTGAATTTCTGGCTTTATCTCTTAAAATTTGAGATATATTGATGAAAATTAGGAGATCAATAATTGTTAAAAATAATAGTTAAAAAATTAGTACAGAAAAAATATTAAAAATAAATAATTACATAAGTAGCAATAAGGTAGAATTCTTCATGGGTTAGTTTTAATTTTCATAATTGTTAAAAATTATAGTAGGAATTCGTAGAGAAAAAATATTAAAAATAAATAATTGCACAAATTCAATAGGGTTTTTAGTTTTTCGGGTTGCTGGAAATTATAGTTAAAAAATTAGTACAGAAAAAATATTATAAATAAATAATTACATAAGTAGCAATAAGGTAGAATTCTTCACGGATTATTTTTAATTTTGATAATTGTTAAAAATTATAGTTAGAAATTCGTAGAGAAAAAATATTAAAAATAAATAATTATAGAAATACCATTAGGATTTTTTAGGGTTGCCCAGCGTTTCTTTCTTTCTTTTATATATAAGATTCTTATGGAAAAATTACAGTTTCACCCCTCAAGTTTACACCGATTTTGCAATTGGTCTCCCATGTTCATAAAAAATACATTTAATCCATCATGTTTCAATAATTTAACAATTTTGGTCATTTTCGTCAATTTACCGTTAGTTCGTCAGTCGTTTGTTAAGGCAGTCATGAGGTCCACACACTTGATTCGTTAGTACTAACTGAAAATTGTCGGAAAAGACTAAAACTTTTGAATTTTTAAAACGTGAGGGACCAAATTAAATGTGTTCTTTGTTAATATGAATGACTAAATGTGACATTGCACAAATTTGAGGGATGAAAAATGTATTTTTTTCCGTATTCTAATTAATAAAAAGTCAGTACATTAACAAAAGGTAGGGGTTGTCTAGGGTCCGAGAGGGGTTGTACTACTCGGACCCAAACGATTTAATCTGGTGCGTAGAAAATATTTAGTAAAAAAATATAGTCGTTGATTTAAAGTACGAACTAGTACGATCTAGTACGAACCTATGAATTTATAAATTAAAGTACGAACCCAGTAAAAATACATCGTACAAAGACCGTACTCCATCGTACTTCATGTAAAATTACTTTATTAACCTTACATTATTTTTTAACTTTGCCCCCCAAATAAATAAAAAATTCCACGATCATACCTCGACTAACTAATTTAGCACAATTTCACCAATTAACCATTTTTTTACCATAATTTCAATTTTGACCCCAATTTTGACTCGCCACCACCGGAGACCGCCAGAGACCCACGGTCTCCGGCGTTAACTCTTTTTTTTTTTTCAAAACTTTTTTTTTTGTTCTGAAATTCTTTTCCGGTAGCTCAATCGCAGGGTCTCCGACTTTGATTTTTTTTTTAATTTTGTTTTTTCTAAAAAAAACTATTTTAACTAATATTAATGTATTGGCTGTTAAATTATTGTCTTCAGCAGTTATTTAACTGTCGGATAGAGTAATTTAATGTTAATTAACCTTTTTTTTCTTACAAATATATATTAATTAATATTACTATCTGGACTGCTAAATTACTGTCTCCACAGTTATTTAACTGTCGGAGACAGTAATTTAACTGTTAATTGACTTTTTTTTTTCTTAAAAAAAATATTTTAATTAATATTACTGTCTTGGCTACAGTAATTTTTCTTTCGGATACAATAATTTAACTGTTAATTGACTTTTATTTTTGAAATTTTTTTTTTCTTAAAAAAATATTTTAATTAATATTACTGTCTTGGCTCAAAATTACTGTCTCCAACAGTAATTTAACTGTCTGAGACAATAATATTACTGTATTAATTAATTTTATCGTCTTGGCTTGCATTATTGTTGTCTTCGACTGTAATATTATTGTCTTCGACCGTAATATTACTGTCTCAAGCAATAATATCACTGTTTGTGACAGTAATATTAGTAATATTATGGTTCGGGAAATAATATTCATAATATTACTGTCCGAAACAATAATATTATTGTCTGAAACAGTAATATTACTGTATGAAACAGTAATTTAGTAGGCAAGATAGTAATATTAATTAAAATATTTTTATCTAAGATTTTTTTTTTCAAAAACGAAATTAAAAAAAAAAAACCAACGTCGGAGAGCGGCGGTCAACTGCGGTTAGACCTGACCACCGGTTCGGTTAGAACCGGAACCGAACTGGGGTCAACGGTTTTAGAACCGAACCGGAGCCGGTTTGACCGGAACCGGAACCAAAAAAACCGGTTCGGTTCCGGTTCCTCATTTTTGGAACCGGGAACCGACGGTTAGAACCGCGGTTCTAACCGTTTGAACCGGTTTTTGAAAAAAAAAAAAAAAGAAAGAAAAATTGATTTCCTAGCTCTCACTATGTTTCTCTCTCTCTCTCTCTCTCTCTCTCTCTCTCTCTC